TCCACCTGAGTTCAATGGCAGGAGGGTAACAGAAAGCAGAGAAGCCGGAATGAACTGGTTGTGCTGGCCTCAGGGACCTCCTCCAGACCACTCCACTCTGAGGAGGACTGGGTCATCCCTGCCCCACAGGAAGCCCAGAATGTGAGAATGTTTTCCCGCATCAAGGCAAGAAGCTTTTAACTCAGGGACTGACCAGTCTTGGGGCGAGAGGGACAAGTTAGAAAAGTCCTTAGTTTAGCAGGTGTAGGGGCACATTCCTACAATCCAGGCTCTCTGGGAGGCTAAGACAGGAGGATCCCAAGTTCAAGCCCCGAGTGGGCAACTTAAACCATGTCTCAAAATAAAAAATAAACAAAGGCTGAAGATGTAGCTCAGTCCAAAGGCCCTGATCCAATCCCCAGTACCCCACTACCACCCCAAAAAAGAAAAAAATCTTTAACTTAGAGCCTGGGGCCAAAGTAACTGTAAAGATGGTCAGTAAGATGTTTAAATAGTCGCTTCAGAGAGACCTGTTCAGCCAGCCTGACCTTTGAGCTAGGCCTGTGCCCTTCTCTACCCTGGCCTATGCCCAGGGCTGTCCACCTCAGCCTCCTGCCCGTGGCTGAGAGATCCCTGTCTTTCTGGGACACTGTCAGGCCCCAGGAAGTCCTAACTTCAGCCTTCTCCCTTTCTAAAGCCAAAGGAACCCCATCCTCAGCTACCGCTTTGCAAAGAAGTGACCGGAGCCTAAGGGCAGGGGTCTCCTTATCCTGGAAGGCACTCCTAGAGCAAGACTGAACTCTCTTGGCCAGATGGATTGGGGGGTTTCCCGAGGGGAGAGGGCTGTTTACTGAGGGGCCAGTGGGGTCCAGGGACCCACAGATTCAGGACACCTAGAAGTCTGGGGACCCTAGCAGAGTGGGGGCTTTCTGGGTTACAGGTCAGGCATAGACAAGGGCTCCTCAGATGGGGAAGGGCAGGAGATAGAGTAGCCATGAGGACTGAGGTGACACAATATCACAAGCGGTCACTGGGCTCCATCCTGGCCAGTTCATCGTTGGTGAGAAGAATTCAGCTGGTGGGTAGTAGAGGGAGACGTTGTCTGCTGGGTCCTCCTGCACCTCCCCTTCCATCCTGGCCAGGTTCACACAAAGAGAGCTGAACTAGGCTGTACTGGCACAGGGCCATTGTGGCTACCCCGGCCCCATATTCCCAGGGTGGTAGAAGCCCCCTGCCTTCTGCCCTGAGTCAGGCTGCTGCACGAGGCTGCTGGGCCCAGTCAAGGGGTTGCTTCACCTTGGTGGTTGGCTCCCGGGCACCCACTCCATGTCCAGACTTCACACTTCTGAGCTGAAAATTGTACAGGATGCCATGTGTGATGGAGACCAGACAGATAAAGCAGCCAGGGCCCAGGGCTTGTGGACTTACCTGCAGTCTCTCCTCTGGGGCCCAGTGGACCTGTCACTACTCCTTGTTTGGAGGCAGAGGCAGGTTTCCTGAGCCAGGTCTGTGGAAGGGGAGGAACAGCGGGCGGATTTGAAAGCCGGGACCCAAAGTTTGGCTTATGGGGAACCAGGTGAGTACCCTGGTTACTGTATGGAGGGGTGTGACCATAGGCCGGCCCGCTGGTCAGTTCCCTCTGGCCTCAGGGACTGTGGAGAGCCCAGAGAAAAGCCACGTCTCCCTATCACGGTGAACCTTCCCGGTGCCGGGCTCCGCCCTTGCCCCCAGGCTCCCATTCTGACTTCAGCCCTGCCATTCCTCCAGGGTCTGTGGTGACTCATGCTGCTTTGGAATTTCACTCACTGGCTTTTCTGATGCAAGTCCTGACAGTGTGGCCAGGAGGCAGGTTGCTGCTGGAACCTCACTGGTGATTAATTTTGGCCACCTGAGCTGGAAGCCACTGAGGTTGGAGTGAGGGAAGATGCCTGACCAGCAGGGTGGGGGTGGAGAGCCTTTGTTCCTGCCAGGCTCACCTGTAAACAGGTGGCAGGAAACTCGTGGCTTGGAGTGGCCAGCCAGGAACTGCAAGAAGGTAAATCCTGTGTGAGAAACTCCGGCTGGCCACTGTGCTTCTTTTGCAGTGAACTTCTGGACCTCAGTTTATCCTTTTGTGAGTCGAAAACATTTGAGGGCTCCCGATTTTGATTGCTAAGATGGGTCCTTCTGGCTTCCCATCCCCTGGAGCCCCTTCCCCCTGGACTGGCTTACAGGAACCTCATCAGTGAAATGGAACAGAGGATTCCAGCCCTTATACCATACTCACGTCTAGGTCTCTGATGTTTGCGTCAGAGCGACCAGAGGCCCCAGTGTCTGTCTCTCCCCCACTTCCACACCTCTGGGAGGCAATTGCTTTCCCCGCTCCCCACCCGACTGGCCTTGGGCTCTCACCTCCCCCTGGCTCCCCAGGCCCGAAGGCCCCTGCCCTGCCGCTCCGCTCCGGCGAGGAGAAGAGCTCTGTGCCACCGGCAAGGCCGGCCGAGGGGGACCCGTGGGGTAGGTCCTGAGTGGACTCTAGAAACAAAGCTCTCTCCCCATGGTGGAGTTCCAGGGAGTGACTCCAAGGACAGGGAGCTCTGGCCAGCCAGGGGAGGTCTGCTGGGTCCACCACCTGCAGCTTCAGCCCTCGTTCACCTCCTCCTCCCTCAGAGCCACACCCGGGGCTGGCTCACTTGGGAAGTGCAAAGCAGTGAGGGGCAGGGGCACGGCCAAGAAATGAGTGGAGGGCCTGCTATAATTTGAGTATGGCTCATCCCCTCCAAAGCCTCAGCTTGGCAGGTCGGGGTGGTGGGGCTGGAGCAGGGGGTTGGTGCAGGGGGCAGAGCTCTCAGGAATAGATAAGCAGGACTTGTCACTCTCAGGGGTCTGGATTAGTTATCACCAGAACAGGTGGTTAGAAAGCAAGGTTACCCTTCCTGTAATCCCAGCACTCTGGGAGGCTGAGACAGGAGGATCACAAGTTTGAGCCCAGCCTAGGCAACTTAATGAGATCCTGTCTCAAAATAAAAAGTAAAGAGCTGGGGATCTAGCTCACTGTGAAGGTCCTGGGTCTAATCCTCAGTACTGCAAAAAAAGAAAGAAAGGGGAAAAAAGCAAGATTACCCTTCCTGTTTTGTCTCCTCTGAATATACCCACTTGTCCTTCCCCTTTCCACCATGAGTCAAAACCACAGGAGACCCTCACCAGAAGCTGACAGATGCTAGCGCCATGCTGTGGACTTCCCAGCCTCCAGGACCACGAGCCAAAACAAACCTCTTTTCTTTGTAAATTACCTAGTTCCCAGCATTTTGTTATAGCAACAGAAGGACTGAAATAGGCTCTATATTCATGCCTATAAAATGGAAAGTTTTTTTGAAAATTACAAGCACTTTAATGAGGCAACAATACATCATAGTCATGTGGGTTTAAGACTGGAATGCCAAGCCAGACTGAGTTCCTATCAAAGGCACCATGCAAAAGCCACCTCATGTTTTCATGAATATTTATTTTCTAGTGCTGGGGATTGAACCCAGGGCCTTGGGCATACTAAGCACTGGCTCTACCATTGAGTTATACTCCCAGCCCATCATTTGTATGTTTAAATGAAGTAATATATGGTACATAAAACTGTTACACATCTAAGCTACAAAACATAAGAATCCAAACAGTTGTAAAGCTCTTATTCATCTTAAAAACATAGCACAGGCAGTATTCTGCATGGTAGAAGCTATACATGTGTAACCCTCTTCCTACCTCTGACTTTGCCAACTTGGGGAAACTCTGTTGCATTTTGTATTAGTGGTTTCTTCAATAATTTAAAATATTTTGTATCATATTGTGTAGACACTCCTAAATAGCAGACTGTTTAGCCTAACTTGTTTTTAAGTTTTGAGACAGTGTATTATACTGTGTGTCCACCATCTTATTTGACTTGTTTTTTCCACTCAGCCTTATGTTACTAAGATAATGGGCATTTTGACAAATGTAGCTATTGCATCTTCCTTTTCCACTGCAGAATATAATTCCATGGCTACAGCATAGGATTCTGTGGTCCAGTTTTCTGCTGTTATGAAAGCTGCTTCTTTGAATATTCCTGAACTTTGCCTCCATTTACATGGTCAAGCCTTCCTGCATAGTAAATACAGTACCTGGAAATGGAGTTGTTAGGTTATGGGGTATGCGCATGCTCAGCTGTAAAGATAATGCCACAGTGGTTTCCAGAGTGGTGGTAACATCAGCAGTTTATGAGTTCCAGTTGGTCCACATTCTCATCCCCAAAAGGTATTTCAGGCATGGACTTTGGCCTCTCTTCTGATACATCGAGGTATCTCAGCAATACTCTGTGTTTCTCTGATTACTAAGAAGGCTGAGCAGCTATTTTTTCTTTCTTTCTTTCTTTCTTTCTTTCTTTCTTTCTTTCTTTCTTTCTTTCTTTCTGTTCTTTCTTTCTTTTTTTGTGAGACAAATGTTGACAAATGTGACACCTGTAATCTCAGCACTTGGGAGACTAAGGTAGGAGGATCACCTTGGGTTGGAGGCCAGTATGGTTTGTGTCTAGATGTCTCCCCAAAGCCTCATGTGGTCACAGGCTATTTTGGAGGTGGTTGAATCTAGACTGTGTGATTGACTCATGGTGAGGCTAGGCCGGAGGACACTAGGATTAAGGGTGTGAGTGCTACCCAGCCTAGGTAGTCTGAATAAGATAAAAGGGGCAGAAAGACACTGTTAAGATCTTTTGTTGCTTTTTGCTGCCTTCCACTGCCATGAACTGTTTCCCTTGTTGCCTTTGCTACCTTATACATGCCATGTTGTTTCTCCTCTGCAATACCTGTTTGTCATCCCTGCTTTCTAGCCAGCTGATTATGGACTGAAATCTCTCTGAACTGTGAATAAACCTTTTCCCCTTTCATTTGGGTGTCAGGTATTTTGTCTCAGCAATGAGAGAAAAGTAACTAACATAGCCAGCCTGGAATTATATAGTGAGACACTATCTCAAAAAAGCAAAAGAAAGAAAGAAAGAAATGAATAAAAAAATTTAGATATAGAGGTCTAAATTATATAATTGATATAACATTATATAGAGAGCATTATATTCACTTTTTATGTTTTCTTCTGATTCCACACATTTGTAAAGCTTAAAAAACAGAAAAGAGACAAACAATGGTTCTTCATGTTGCTGTGAAAATTGTACGTTCCTCCCAACATTCTCTCTGGTCATACAGGAGCAGAGTTCTTCACTGATGCGAAGATTCCTGATCACGGTCATCGCTGCCGCCATTCGAAGACTTCGGAAGAAACTCTTGCACATCCCTTGCAATAAGTGTCTCATAAGGGGGACCCTCCACACCCCAACACAATTCCATACCAGCCTGCTCAGATTCCAGGGGAAAATTATAGTGCTGAGTATTTCATGGAACAGTGCAAAGTGCATAAGGTCAGTTCTTTCAATGATAAAAGGCCATGTCATTATTTCCTCTGCACACTAAAAATCTTTTTCCTCCCTCAAAGTAGAAAAATGAAAATACGGCCAGGCGTGGTACCAAATGCCTATAATCTCAGCACGGGGGAGGCTGAAGCAGGAGGATCCCTGAGAGTTCGAGACCAGTCTGGGCTCCATGAGTTGAAGACTGGCCTGAAGTACATAGGGAGGCCCTGTCTCAAAACAATAAATAAACGAGTAAATGAATGGGACTAGAGCCCTTTGTCCCTCGCATGACAAACCACCACTTGGGGCCCAGAGATCCCAGGAGGCGTGGGGCAGGAGAGGGTGAGAAGCAGCAGGCCAAGGCCAGTGACACCTGGGCGGAGAGTGTGGCCTGCGCTGGCGCCTGGGCGGCAGGGGCAGCAGCAGCGAGGCCAATGCAGCTGGGCCTGAGCTGACTGGGCCCGAGGCCAAGCTGAGGCCTTGCACCCCGGAGCCTGCGCTCCATCGGAGCTGCCGGCTGCAGGAGCGCTCTATCTCGCAGTCCTGGGTGCAGGGAAGCGGCAGCCAGGCAGGCAGGAGGAGGGAGGGCGGCCGGACGGGCCTAGTCTCCACCAATGCCCCCAGAAGGGACCTGCGCTGCCAAAGCGGCTGACAAATTCCCGCCTCGTTCAAGTGACTGCTTGGGCGGCTCAGCTCTGCAAAGCAGCCTAGTTGTTGCCTTCCCCAGGGCCCTGCCCTAGCGAGAGAGTCCCAGGGCTCCCCTAGCGGCACGGTAGGAGCGGCTTACTAGGGCTAGGAGGGCCCCCCCACGGGGACAAGGGAGGACAGCTCCCCTAGGCACGCCTGAGCTCTCGTTCTTGGAGACGGTGACACAGTTCAGCCTAGGTTTAAAAATAATCTCTGGCCGCAGAGTTAAGGCCCTCTCTGCTTGCACCAGGGGTTCCGTCCATAACAGCTGCGCAGCGTTTAGCGGACTAGTGGCAACTGCCAGGCGCGGTGCCAGTCATGGGCGCTTCCCTTTCCCACAGGAACTGTGATTGGAAGGAAAAAATAAGTAAATAAAACCATTTGATGCAACAAGCAGATCTATTACGTATTCTGGAGTAGAATTCTGGAAAATATGTTTATAAAGCTCAGAGAAATCAGCAGGAGGTTTAAAATCGGAAAAGTTGAAGTCATGAACACATTCTTTTGCTTTAATCTCTACAAACAGATAACTGGAAAGGGGTTGAAGCCCAGAGCAATTTGGTGTTTTCTTTTGATTGGCTGTGGCTAAAAGAAAAAGTTAAATATAGGGAATTTAAGCAAACTAAAGAGTATTGTTTTTGGGTCACAGCTATGGGGTTGGGCGCACTTCATGTAATCAAGTCAAAACAAGTTACAGCTCAGTACTTCTAAAGTATTTGGGACACCACGTGAAGCTGCTAGAAGGCTAAGTTCCATGGAATTCGGAGCTCCAATTTTAAATATCCACAGAGTTTGTTTTGTAAAACAACTTGGTATTGGACATTAGCTCAAAATTTCACTTTGAAGATGGCTAAGATAACAATCAAAATTATCCCGATTAAATGAACTGACCTTTCTGTTTTTCAAAATTAGTAAAGAATTTGGTGATTAGATGAAGTCTTTCTCCTCACGCTGGTAAGATAAATACATGAGTTTTTCACCGTTTGTCCTCATAAATATTCTAATGCAACAATTGAGCATTTAAAATCTGAAGGATTTGAATGTACTAGTAAGTTATTTTCAGCAAATAAAAATAGGTAAAGAACATGCAGCTATAATTCATTATGTATTTTGGGGTTTTTGGGGGTGGGGGAGAACAGGGTCTTGCTCTGTAATTCAGGGTAGCCTTGCACTCCTTATGTAGCCCAGGCTGGCCTCAAACTCATGGCAATCCTCCAGTCTCAGTCTCCCGAGTCCTGGGATTACAGGCATGTGCCACCATGCCCGGCTATAATTCATTAAAAAGGAAAAAATATGAATACATAAAAAATCACTTTGCCTCAGTAATAAAAAACTGAAAATTATTTTAACACTTACCTGTCAAATCGGTGAAAATATTAAATTTAATCAAATTTAAATTTAATTTACTTATTTTTCAGTGCCAGGGATTGAACCCAAAGCCTTTGCACTGAATGACATGCCCAGGCCTTTTTATTTTACTTTAATTTTTTTGAGGCAGGATCTTGCTAAGTTGCTAAATTACCCAGTCTTGGCTTGAACTTGAGATCCTCCTGTCTCAGCCTCCCAGGATGTGAGGATTACAGACTTGTACCACTATACCTGCTAAAAATTTTTAAAATGATAATATTCAATTCCCTTTGCTTGAGGGAAATATACATTTTAATCTGGAAAATAATTAGATGAGGTATATGGAGATCTACTCAGAACCTCAGAATTGGTATAAAGATTTTTTTAAGCCTTAACCATTCCATGAACCAGCTACTTCTTTTGTTGGTTTTTAAGTCCACCCAAATAAATCCTTTCTTCTCCTGTTAATCTGTCTTTTGTCAGTTTAATTCGCAGCCTCAGGAACTGCACATAATGGCATAGAGGAAAAGATTTTTCCCTTCCTCCATCTATTATATTAAGAGGCTCTAAAATATTCATACACTTTGATCCAAGAAAATTCTTTTTTTTTTCCCTTTGGGAACACTTTATTTATAACTAAATTCCAATGTAATTATAAGTTACAGTGACAGTATTACACCAAACTGCCAATGTCTCCTGTTTTTTTCACCTGATTCATTTTCTCTGAGGTATCATCTTATCAGGAACCTAAGTGTGTTAGTTTTGTACATCCTCTTGAAAAAAATATTGTTCTCTAAAGCCCTGAAGAGTCAATGCAGTGGATTAACTGTTCCTGAGGACAGGTGGCTGGTGCATTTAAGAACAACCATTAGCTAGACCTGGTTGCATAAACCTGTAATCTCAGCACTCTGGAAGGCTGAGGCAGGAGGATCACAAGTTTGAGGCCAGCCTGGGCAATTTAGCAAGACTCTGCCTTAAACTAATAATAATAATAATAATAATAATAGTAATAATAATAGTGATATAGTTCACTGCTGAGACCCTGGTTAAACAAAAAAAAAACACAAACAATACAAAATCCTTTTCCCTGTTCCTGGTTTAAAATGACCCCTCTCAACCTCAATCTTTATTGGTGTACTGTATAACTTCTTGAACTGTTACCTTGGTCTTTTCCAGCTTCGTCTATGTGTTGAAAGTCTTTTAGCATTTGAAGATTAAAGAACCCCTCTCAGGGCCAGGGATTTAGCTCAGTGGTTCTGGTGCCTGCTATGCAAGCATAAGGACCCGAGTTCGATCCCTGGTACCAAAAAAAAAAAAAAAAAAGAACCCCTGTCTGCAATGCTGAATAACTTTCTTTGATCCATTCTTGATGAGATAATCCTTTAGGGTGAGGGATTTATACACATGGTGCCAGTTTTTTCCATGGTCACTGAGCCTCTGCCATAGCATATTCATAATCTCTGAGAGAGAAATCGTGTTGAAAGTCAAGTCACTGATATCTAGCATCAGAGAACTGGAGGGACCCCAAGGATCATTAGAAGTTGCTTCCCTGACTTTTATTTCAGCATTGAGTAATTTTTTCTCAAAGTTTTGTACTTGCCTCCTGAAAGCCATAGGTAGGACAAGCCTGAAGGTGAAATGGGGGATGAGAGCAATGAAATAGGAATGTGTATGATTGGTTTATAAAACTCTTGATGGCTGATCAGTCCCCAGTTCTGCTGCTCCTAAGTACAAACAATTAATCTCCATGCTGATAAAATATCGATTTCCCAGTGGCCATTCCATGCTCCCAGGGCAGAGAAGGTGAGCCGGTCCCAGCACCCGGAAGGAAGCTCCCCTGCCGCCATCCAACGCTCCCACCTTTACTACAGCACAATTCATAGCAGCCAAGAAGACATGGAGCCAGCCGAAGTGCCCATGGATAGTTACAGTTTTAGCAGATACAAAAAACCGCAGCCCTCAGCAAAGACATGCCACTCCTTAGGTGGCTGAAGACCAGGTATACATCCTGCAGTCTCCACCTAGATACAGGCTGTGCGTGTCCTCACACACAGAACGCAGAATGGGTGTTACAGAAAGGAGAAAAGACCATAAAGCACAGTACAACGTCTTCCCGGTGCCAAGTCACCCGACAACACCCACACATCTGCCCTGACCGCTGCATGGACCCCGATCACAAATTTTTGCTCCGACCCCTGTATGTGTCAGACCCCTTTCTGATCCCCTATAAAAATCCCTCCCTGTTCTTTGTTCACCACTGACAGACAGGCTGCTCCAAAAATTCTAATAATAAAATGTAAGGAAGGGCCGGAGATGTAGCTCAGTAGGGCTGTGCCTGCCTGGCAAGTGCAAGGTCCTGAATTTGATCCCTGGTACCAAAAAAAAAAAAAAAGTAAGGAAAGAATCAGAGATCAGGAGGAGATTTATGTACAGGAAACCTACAACACTCATGACACTGGGGGAAAAGGCAGAAAAGAGTAAAACCCACAATAGGGAAAGGTCTAAGTAAGGGCTGGATGTCTGTAAGATGGAAAGTGTGCACATGTGTGCAGGTGTGAGTGGGTGTACACACACATGCAGGTGATATGATTATTTATCACTACCGTCTCAATTGTTAAAGAAAAATTCATACACAAGAAAGGCAGACTCTGGGTGTCTTCCCCAAAGAGTTAGACATCATCTTAAAGTGATCCATGCACACCCACGCTTATCAGCACAACTCATAATATCTGAATTATGGAAGCAGCTCCCATGCCCATCAACAGGTGAATGGATAAAGAAAATGTGATATTGACACACCATGGAATACTACTCAGCCATAAAGAATGACAAACTAGGGGCTGGGGATTTAGCTCAGTGGTTTCGCTGCCTGCTGCGCAAGGGCAAGGACCTGAGTTCGATCCCTGGTACCAAAAAAAAAAAAAAAAAAGGATAGAACGAAACACTGCAGAATGTAAACAGTGCTTATTTCTAGATGGTGAGATTAAGAATCTTAAAATTTTCTTCTTTCTGTATATTTTTATTTTTCAGATTTTTATAATGAGAATATAACAACTTCAGATTAATGGTAAGGGGAGAAGCACAAAGCTCTTTATTTACCAAATTACTTTGGAAAGGAAGAAGGGAAAGAATAAGACAGAAAAACGTCCTCCTAGGTCTTTCAGTTGTAAAATGTCATTTAAGCAACACATTTGGGTGGATATTTTTCCTTAGGGTACAAACAGTATATTCATTGTTTTAGCACATCCCATAGCTAGTGGTAAAAGAAAATGTAGTATAAACAAGTTGAAACGCAAGGTTGCGATTTGGTAGGTGAAATTACTTGGTTCCAAAATGACTCTAACAAAGATACACACGTAAAGTTAGGCTTACAGTGTAGCCAGGGACTCCTAGGCCCTCAGTGAACAAAGTAACCCAGAGTAAGAGAGAGAAAATGCCGATCAGGACACCAGCCAAACCGAGGTGGAAGAGGCTGCTGCCAATGGAACATGTGTCCTGTTTTACACTGAGTTTTATTTGATAAGTAAGAACAATTGTAAAATAACAATAAAAAGTATAGTGTAGTAAAAGCATAAACCAGTCATGGTTGCTCATTCTCATCAAGTATGATGTAGTTGCATAACTGGATTTTTTAATAGTACGTGTGTAGTCCTTGTTCACACCCCTTCTAGGGAGTTGGTACATGGACATCACACATCTTAATTCCCTTTTTCGTCCCTTTTCCCATCCCTCCCTCCCCCTCTCTGCAACTCTTGATCCCTTTCCCCTTTTAGAAGATCTATTTCTCTATTTCCTATCACCTATCTTTTATATTGCTTTTTAAAATTTTGATAAGACAGGGAGTACAGCAGGTTCGTTTGCACCCGAGTCACCACAAACAGGTGAAGTGTGTTCCTGTCCCCAGCTCTTCCATTCTCTCTGTTTCCTGAGCAGCTTTCCTCCAACTTGTGCATTCACTGTGCCAGACCCCAGCTGTACATTCGTGGGGCCTGTTGATGACAGGAATGTTACATGGTGCAGGACTGAATACAGATAGTGGTCAAAAACATGATGAATATTTAAATGGAAAAAGAAACTTTCTGCAGTAAAAGATGCAGTGCCAAGAATGATACAGATAAGTATCAAGTTCAAAGTGAGGGGGAGTAGCTGGAATATTTTGAGGGAGGTTAAAGGCAGTTGTCTTTTACTGCAATAAAATTTTTTAAAATTTAAACCTTCACCATATGTTTTGATCATACTATATATATAATGAAAGAAGTTAGATAAGACATTGGTTATTATAAATAACTTTTAAACATGTTTTTGAAAGATAAGAAAGCATAACAAGAAATTAAGAAAAAAAGATATCTTCTTCTGTGATTCCAACATCAGAATACCAATTCTTTTCAGTTCTTCTGTTCTCCCAAGCAGTATTCACTACATGGGAAATCTATCATTGGAGCAGAACGTCCTAGGGACAGCAGCTCTCAGACTGGGACCCGATGGCTTGCCCCTCGCCCTCTGCCCGTGGCAGCCTCATAATCAGCCTAAAACAAGGATCTACAGCTTTGGCCCCTGCCCTCTTCCCCAGGGGACCCCTGTGGTTTGGGATAAGCAATAACAGAGAATCTGAGGACCACCCAGCCCGAAAGACAGGCTTGAGTTCGAGGCTCCTCCAGCTCCAAGCACCTTTATCTCTCAACCCACGTCTTGCTCTGACAAGGCCATTGCACATTTGTCCCCCGCTCCCTTCTCCCTCAGGAGACGTGTTCCAAGTAGATGCCTGAAATTGTGGATAGGACTGAACCCTACATATGCTGTTGTTTCTTATGCATACACATCTATGATAAAGTTTAATTTATAAATTAAGCACAATATGAGATAGCCAGAATACCTAACAGTAAAATAGAACAATTAAAGTGATATACTGTATTGACAGTTTGCACTTTAGAGTAGTGATGGCAAACTTTTCAGAAACCAGTGCCCAAACTGCAACCCTGGACCCATTTATTTATGGCAAAAGCACCAACACTGCAATTAAACCCGAATACCGAGGTTTTAGTTTAGAAGAAACATGTGTGTCATAGGTTTGCCCCCACTGCTTTAGGGCAGTAACCAAGGAAACTGGGGTAACTGGAGCACAAGTACTTCAAGGCCAAGACAGGGCCCGTGATGACCCAGGTGGCTGCTACGTGACGGGGGGGCCGGTGTCAGGGATATGAGGACTCACTGGGCAAAGGGCTGGTGCCTGCCCTGGGTGGGGTGATGCAGGATTGCACCATGCTACTCAGCCTAAAACTTACGGGCTGGTTATTTCTGGAACTTTCCACTTACCATTTTTGGACTACAGTCTACCTATGGTAACAGAGACCTCAAAAAGCAAATGTGCAGATAAAGAGGGAGAACTGTACTTTCTCAGCACCCCACATACCCTGTGTGATGCGTTTTGCCTACCTCACCTCCAGTTGTGTCCTGCCAGAAGGCTCTGGCCATGCCTCCTCTAAACTCAGGTCTGCTACCTTCGAGGTCAAGTCGAGTGCTGTGATCTCCTCCCACTTCTGCATGTAGCTCATAGCGCCCACTGTCTCCTCCCCTGGCCACCTCAGCCTGTCGCTGCGCCATAGGAAATCCACCCCCTGCACCAGCAACCGAGAGCCTTCTCCGCCAGCAGTGGCAGTCACGTGGTCAATTCGGCAGCAGGCCAACCTTACCCCAAAGCCTAGCCCCGGGCCGCAGTCTTTTCTGGCCGGTGTAAAGGAAAGTGACTTCCGGATTTCCCTCGCTGGCTAGAAGAGTCCTTGTCCTGCCCTTTTAAGGTGCGGAAAGTGTGGAACAGGCGGGAGGACCCGGCATCCTGGGGGCGGGGCCGGTTTAGGCGTGGACAGTGCGGGCAAGGCCCTGTTGGGAGTTCTGAATGTGACATCCGTGGGACAACTGGACACATGGGCTTGACTCGAAGGAAACAGGAGGCACCAGAGATGTGGGGTTTGGGATCAGCAGTCTGGAGAGAGACGTTAGGACCCTGGGAAGGGATAGCTGCCTCTAGGGAGACTACAGAAAGAAGTTCAAGGGACAAAAGCCAGGTACCGCGGTTGAAGAGGCAGAAGGGGTACTGAGGCAGGTAATCATTTACCTTGTCATTGTATCTACAGGCCCTCAAAGTTGTGGGACAGGCAGGGACGCTCCCGGCGGCCCTTTCTCGCCACCTGCTGGTCATGGGGTTTAATGATGAGCTCAGGAAAGGGGATTCCCAGGGGAGAGGCCAGAGTCCTGCTGGCCATTGCAACGCTGCTAATTCCCTTTCACAGGCTCTGACCTCAACCTGCCCAGTCCGCGTAGCTTCTAGGCCTTGAGGGAATGGAAGTCCCTCCCTGTCCTGTGCAGGGCAAGAAAATCAGAAGTGGGAAATGGGGTGGAGGTCTGGGGCTGTCCTAGAGAAAGGAAGACTGCCCAAAGCCTGGGGCTCTCTGGGGTCACTGGATGCCCTGGTGAGAGAGGCCTGGGCCACTCAGTCTCAGCTGCAGAGCCTTGGGCCCTGGCTCACCTGGTTGCCTCACCCTTGACACTAAAAAAGGGACGAAGAGCCAGCAGGCCACCCTGCTCCTGCACCCTGCCTCTGCCTTGTGACTGTGCTTAATATAGGTCAAATGAAAACAGCTCCCAAAATAGCCCTTCTCTGAGAGGCAGCTGTGGCTGTGAAGTGCTCCACAGAAAGGGAGAAGGTGTGGGTGACAGGGGAGCCTAGGTCCCCTCAGGTGTTACGTAACCCGGGCTCAGGGATCCAGGCCAAGTATCTGTGTGTGGGGGGTCCCTGTCTCCCCCCGGCCTTCCCCTCTCCACTACCCCCAGGCCCAGCCGCACAAGCAAAAACGGAGCAGGGCCCCTCTTGATGCAAGGTCACCCCAAAGCAACACTCCAGGGAGCCTGTCATGCATGCCTAAGTGGTCACATGACTCCTCCTCCCAGAGCTGGCCGGGAGCCCTGGAAAGGGTCAGCTGACTCCCCGGAAGGGCCAGTGCCTGGGCCAGGTTCATCTGACCCAAGGCACAGGCTCAGAGAGCTGGGGAGGAGAAGAGACCACAGGTCCTGCCTAGGGCCGGAGGACGTGTCACTGTGGGAGGGGGCTGTGGCCACTTTCTCAGCTTTGCCTCAGCTGCAGGGGCCTTTCTGTGCCCACCAGTCATTTCTCCACATTCAGGGCCCACTTCCTCAGACTGCCCTGAGCCAGGCCTCTCTGGTCACTGCAGGTGCTATGGTGGAAGAGACCCCTCCTTGCCCACAGGGTCTCAGAGCCCAGAAAGCGGGACAGACAGAGGCCCCCAGGGGACAGGGGGGCACTATCTTGATTTAGTTTTTTCTCAGACAGGGTCTCACTATGTGGTCCAGACTCATGGTGATCCTCCTGCCTCAGCCTCCCAAGTGCTGGGATTACAGGTATGCACCACCACACGGGGCCCTTGATCTTGATGAGTACAGTCACAGGATCAAGATGATCTTGCTAAAGAAGTGACTTGGGAGAAGCAGACAGGAAGGTTAAGAAGGAACCAGGCAGGTCAGGGAAGGGGGTCAAGGCTGTGGGTGTCCCATTCAGAGGAGAGGTCACACATGTGAAGACCTGGATGCCAGACAGACAGCCTGCCTCTAAGAAAAGCTGCAACTATTGCAGAATGGCTGGTGGACAGAAACACAAGGGCAGAAAGCTGGGTGTGGTGGTACACGCCTACAATCCCAACACTCAGAAGGCTGAGGCAGGAGGATTGCCATGAGTTCTAGCCAAGATTCTTGTCTAGAGACATGTAAAAAACTCTGCCTGGCAGAGGTCCAATGGAAGTCCCCTCACCCTCTGCAGAAGAAACCAGTGTAGTCACCAATTGCATGTTCATTTCAATGTCCCTGATCTATCCATGAGTCCATTCCTTGGATCACCTTTTGGACTGGTTTGAAGACCTTACAAATCTTTTCATTATTAAGGAGTCAACTAAAATTTTTTAATATGTGTTAGCTGTATATTGGTATGGGAGTGGTGGTTTTACTTTTTTGAAACCTATCTTTTAGTAGACACATATATCAATGACAGCTTTAAGCAAACACAAAGCGATCAAGCCATCATTCACTTACAGCACCTTTTCCTTCTCACATGGCTGTTGAAGAGGAGCCAATGTATATGTGTTTTGACCATTTCTTCAACACTACACAGGACAGCTCTCTGGCTGGTCAGGAAAACAAAAACCAGTGCATATTTTCACATGTGACTTCAGTATTTCAAGGGAGCTTTTCAACTTTGTACTAGTGGCATCATTGACACTGGGGATCTGGCCTGAAGGCTCCTGACCAGAGGGAAAAGCAGGAACTCTCCAGGAGCTCCCACCAGCCAGCCAGTGACTCAGTAAACATTTTCTGAGTGTCCACAATGTGCAGTGCTTGGTGCCAAAATCCAATCAGGAAATAAAAGTCTCTTTGGTCTGTGCATTACCTTTCCTATTGCTGGGACAAAATACCCACCACCCACAACTTAAAGGAGGAGGGGTTTAATTTGGCTCATGGTTTTGGGGTTTCTGTCCATGGATGTCTAGTTCCAAGTCAGAAACAGCGTGATGGAAGGGTGTGGCAGAGGAAAGCTGCTCAACCCATGGCAATCGGGAAGCAGAGAGAAAAGGGAGGAGCAGGGACAAGAATACACCTTTCCAGGTCCTGTCCCCAGTGACCTGCCTCTTCCTCACACCCCATTTACATGTGAACTCACCAATGGATGAATCTGCCGATGAGTCTAGCACCCCATGATCCAGTCACCTTCTAAAAGCCTCGCTTCTTAACACAGGGAGACTTTTGGGGGACATTTTACGTTTAAACCCGTAGCAGTCTGTTTTAAATTTATTTCCTGATTTCAAAAAGGAAGAACAAACCACATAGCCCTACATAGAGATATGATATGAGTTATCATGACAGGCTGTTATAATACCATGAAATGTTATGATATGATGTAAGAGATATGGTATTCTCATTAGAAACAAACAGGCCAAAAGGCAAGTTGCAGTATTGCCTCCTGGCTTGGAGAGAAGCAAGAGCAGCTCAATCTAGTGAGCTCACATCCTCGCCAATCCGGGCACAACTGGCAGAAAGGGCCTGGCATCTTTCCTTGGCCCTATGTTCCTGACACAGACACCTGGGAGGGAACTAGTGGGGTGACATCTGGCTTCCCTGCAGGGGAGAAGGTCCTTCAAGGGACCCCTGGGGAAGGCCTCAGTTTCATTTGTTTATAATCCAAGGCCTGTGGATTCTGCTTATCTGGTAGGCAACTTGGTGAGCAAAGGGAGACAGTCTCACTATCAAGAGGCATCAGCCTGGGGAGCTCGAGGGCCTCAGAAGGGGGTTCTCCCAGGGGCCTCTACTAATGTGAGTAGCTGCCAAGGAATATGTGAGTGGCCTGCTCAGGGAGGCGGCACCCATGCAGGCAAAGTCAAACAATGAGGAATACGACAGTCTGGCTGTGTCCCCAGGGTTCACACTCTGGAATTCCCACTGCCACAGTGTTGGGCGGTGGGGCTTGGGACTCAGGCAGGCCCTGATGGATTTGATGCATGAGTTCTAGCTCCCCTCAAGGAACAAAGAGTACACAGACCCCAAGATGCATTGCAAACATCTCCCCCATTGCAAAATCTTCTCATCTCTCAAGCTTCCCTACTATTTACCTATTCCTTTATCATAGCTCTTGTGTTTTATTGTTGCGTAAATGCCTGTCTTTCTCATTAAACCTCAGAGGCAAATACTATGCTGTATGTATCCTGGCACGTGGCTGGGCCCAGGGGATGTTTAAATGGAACTGGCAGCTACATCCATCACCTCTTGCAAAAGGGACCAGTCCATGCAGACCCTGTTGAGACCATTTTTTCCCCCCAGTTGCTCATTGAGGCCATGTAGCCTCAGAGATTGGGGGCATCCAGCCTGAAGAGGACCCCAGGAACATCTGCTGACTGGTGAGTAAATGAACAAATGGAACAGGATGAAAGTCAGAGTCCAAGACCACGGTGTCCTCTGGCCATTGCAGTTTGGATGACCTGTGAATCCAAGGAATAGAGTTCACAGCAGTGAAGGGGCATTTGTGTCCACAGCCTTTGGAGGGAGTGGCCCAAGGTGTCCTGGAGTGGGCCATGAGAACATAGGCCTGGAACGCAGCAGATGTGGCTTAGGATCCAGGATCCAGGATCCGAGTCTCCTGGTCACTAGCTGTGTGGCCTTGGATAGTCTTCAACCACACCAGGCTTCTGCTGTAAAGTGGGGATGAGAGCACCCAGGACTCGGGGCTGCAAGAGGAGGAAGTGAAACAGTGCAGGTTATGTGAGTTCACACACTTTTTGGCACACAGTGAGTGCACAGCAAATGAACACTGTCATTGTCAGCTGCAGTGACACAGGGGGAGTCCTCCGGGGGAGCAGGGTACCCGGAGGCAGAGAGCAGAGGTGGAGACTGTCCAGCTCCAGCCTCTCTTTTCTGCAGAGGGGCTCGGGACACCTGAGGATCGGCTGCACCCCTGAAGCCTGGTAGGACAGCTGTTTGTTCTGCTGAAGGAGCTGCAGGAAAGTGACAGGGCCTGGACCTCATGTGGCCAGATGATGGAGGCTGATGTTGGCAGATTGACAGCCCCTAGGATCCTGTTGCCAGGGATTTTAGGAACGAGAAGCCATTGTTGAGCTGTCACCCACAGGCCCTGTGTCACCCATGGGGGCCACGTTGCAGCTCTGCGTGCGTGCGTGTGTGTGTGTGTGTGTGTGTGTGTGGTGCTAAGGATGGAACCCAGGGCATCAGCCAT